AGCTGGTTGAAACAATGAAGTTAGTCACGGTCTTGTTGAATTGGGGGTGCGGTTAGTAATAGGTACTTTTCAAGTTTTCAATTTATGTTATGAGCTCTTTAACCCCGAAGCCGGAATTGGGGGTGCGGTTACTATTACGTATGCGGTTTATATTAGGACTTTAACGGTAGCAACACACATAATTCAAAAATTGCGTTTACTGTATGTAAGCTGGATTTTTAAAATATGACAAAACTACTGTCTACCATTTGCATGTTGTTTTTAGGAGACTCTACTTTTCTGCTCTCTGGTGCCCAAGTAATGCCCTTCATGCAATGCCAGATATCCTCCATTCTTAGCAGATGGTCAATCCATTTTGATCTCCTGCATTTGACTTCATTGCAAATCTATTTTGTGTTCTTTGAGTATGACACCATGCATATGGCCATCTGACTTTATGTATTCTCCCCAGACATTTGAATTGAAATGCTTTCAAGTCTCTTGTCGTCACTTTCATTGATTTCCTTGTCTCACATCATTAAAGTAAAACTGATATTACGAGTGATTTGAGTAGTCAAAACATTTTGTATACATTTTCTTCCTCTTTGCCTTCAGATGACCATGATGCTTTGAAGTTACTGACACATAGTCTTACAGTACCTGCTAGTGAACTGGTAAGTTATACATACACAGTGCTTTGTTTGTTCCATATTCCCTCCACTTTTATTTCACATTCCAAATAGCTATAAATAAACAGGCCTGAATAGCCATGGAGAGAATAACTCAGTTGAATATAGACTGACAACATTCACAGTCCTGAATGCTACCATTGAAAAACTGCTGTGCTACTTGTCAGGGATACATGTGTCCGGGCAGCATAATTTGCATAAATCTGCATACAAATTTTTATATCATTTTGCATATATTCCTATGCAGAGTTCTGCCCAGCCTGGTTCGAGTGCTGGTCGCTAATTAATACTGTAGAATACTTTATTTTCGCCATTTTTGCTGTATGGATGATTACGTGAAAATAAAATCCAGTGAATATACTTTTTTTCATATAGTTCACATTAAACTCGTCAAAAATCAGTGAAAATAAATTCTTTACACAATGCCCAAAAAGCCTTTTCAGCGAAAATTAATTCCAGCAAAAATAAAGTATTGCACAGTATTCATTTTGCCATCTTACTACAATTTAACTACTTTAATTAAATTAAAATGAAAATGAAGAATAGATACACTTTATTATCGCAATCACATCTATAATACATATCTTGAAATATTAACCTCCGACCTTCAATACATGTCATTCATTTGTTACGGCCAAAATGGAAACAAAGAATTATTCGCTTTTCTTTACTAATGCAATGCTGGTAAAACACATAAATAATTATTCCTTGGTACAGAACATGTTATTATATTATTATTTTTTTATGTTCCATGCAGCCCAAACCAGATGGTCGTATTACTGAGGAAGAAAGACAAAAATTCACCAGAGAATACGACGAGTACTATGAAAAATTACAGAAACAGAAAGAAGAGTATGTATATTTTTACATTGTATTCATAATGTGTACTTTCTATGGTGATTTTAATAGTATCGCATTTATCTGAAAAATCTCCCACTGTAAAGTCAGGCGATGCGATGTTTCTGCACCTGGGTGATCTTTTGGTGCTGCAAATCGGCATCAAAATTCAAAACTACGTAACTGAATTGTCGATTTGGCCAGCTTGTAGTGACTCAGGGTCAAGCTAGCTATCTAATGAAAGACATGAATTCACAAATAGTGATGTTTTCTAATTCTGTTCACATTAACTGAAGACATGTCCTGATCTATATGCACTGCTTTAATGCACATTAATTCATTGCTACATGCCTGTAGTTATGTTTATGTGGGTAAAAAAGATTGACATTCATCTTTTGTTGAAATCGTCGCTGGCATTGAGATCTGATAGGAATCAACAGTGATGAAAAGTGATGCTGCATTTTACAATTCATATTTTTTAATTTTAAATTGCTTGACAATAAGGATTTCCATTCTATGTTTTGTTAAAAAATTTGAGTGCAAATGAAAAGGATACAAATTTATACTTTTTTTGAACACCTTGAAGTAGAACATATTTAATATATATCTTTTGTTTTTAAAAATTTGTCAATTAATAATTTTGATGATAGTAATTGTACATCGAATTAGTGTATGATAAAACTGACGTGTTGACCCTGGGCGTGGATGTGAAAACAGTTGATTGTGCAAACAATGTTGAGAAAAAAGTGCCAAAACATGACCCAGAGTGATCTTTCAGATAGATATGGTTGCATGTCCATGGCATGCAAGATATGTGAGGGCAGTGTCAAGCCAGTGAAAATAATACGCCTCTAATCACTCAAATTATTTTCTCTTTTCTCCTGGTATTTTACCCCTTTGCAAAACAATCTTAATTTGTATACCTTAATTTCACTATATTATATAACAGTTAGCTACGATATACTGCTGATTATTTTTATAGATTATGGTTCACTACCTTTGTGATTGTAAAGTCTGACTGTATACCGGTACATATAGCCAGTGTTTAAGATTGTCCTGCCCAAAGCGTTAACCTTCATACACATACATGTAACTTGCGTGTATGATGTTTTATCATGTGGGTTGTATGTCATACAAGAGTCAAGGGTGTTATGTAACATGTTGTGCAAGTTTTGTGTCTCAGTTAAGTTGTGTTACTGTATACAATGTATGTTTTGATGTTCTGGATGTGTTGTGCTATATACTGTAAAATACTTTATTTGAGCTGGAATTAATTTTTGATGAAATAACTCTTTGAGTCATTCCATATTCATATATAAGGTACATTTGCTGGATTTTATTTTCACTTGTGTTGTATGTTGTGTCAGTGTGATTGTGTTCTCTGAATTACCGTAAAATCTGTATTAGTAGCCACACCCCTAATAGAAGTTGCATCCATTCTTTTTGAATAATTGTGAACCACAAATTCACTGTTTTTCATATGTAGATGCTCTAATAGAAGCCGCATCCCCCCTGTTGTATTGTAACATTTTAATAGAAGCCATGGTTTCTAATACAGATTTTACAGTAACTATCATACATAACTATCACATATCATGTAATAAAGAGTGTATGGTTTGTTATACAAATATAGTTAGTAATATGTTTATGTATTTATAAATGGTTTTATTTTATAGATTCAGAAAACTTCATCCAGAAAGAGTTGCAGGAATAGGCGTTGAAGATGTAAGTTATTTGCTTGAAACTATTTGATAATTTATTTGAATGGCAAAACTTGATTATTGGTAGTGATATATTGTTATTGTAATCTGTATTTCTGTTTGTTTGCTTTCCAGTTTGAAGATCCTAATGTTCGTGATTTAAGATTAATTTATGAGGGACAGCATGGAATTCACCAAACAATCAGGTAATCTATGCCACACAATGCAACAATGAAAGTGTACCTTGCTCTCTCAGAAAGTAATCAAATGTAAAAGCACACCTAGGCTTCTCTAGAAATGTAGTCACATGTAAAAGTACACCTAGGCTTCTCTAGAAATGTAGTCACATGTAAAAGCACACCTAGGCTTTTCTAGAAATGGAGTCACATGTAAAAGCATACCTAGCTTTCTCAGGAAGTAATCACATGTAAAAGCACACCTAGGCTTCTCAGGAAATGTAGTCGCATGTAAAAGCATACCTAACTTTCTCAGGAAGTAATCACATGTAAAAGCACACCTAGGCTTCTCAGGAAATGTAGTCACATGTAAAAGCTTTCTCAGGAAATGTACTTATATGTAAAAGCACATCTAGGCTTCTCAGGAAATGTAGTCACATGTAAAAGCATACCTAGCTTTCTCAGGAAATGTACATGTATGTAAAAGCATACCTAGCCTTCTCAGGAAATGTAGGTAAATACTGTCCTTCTTATAAAATGTCTTGTGTGAACGCTTACATGAAAAATAACCACTTGGTGTACTGGTTCTTTTCACTGTTTTTTTTCTTTCTTTTGTGTAGTACTTCATTTTCTAACTAATTATGGAATTTATTAATATTTTTCATCACCTTCTTTGACAGAGAATTGAACCGAAAACTAGATGAAATTATTGGGCGTCAGGAGCGTACACTTTCAACTTTATCATCTGTTCAATCTGGTGGTGGAACACATATGGGGGGAGGTGGAGGTGGTACACCTCAAATGATAGATACTATTAAACGCCATGAAGTAGATAATGTACTCAATACACAGAGAGAAATATCACAAAGTGTTAGAGATATTAGGTAAGCTGTGGTGAAATATCAAATGTTTAAAGATGCAATATGGATGAGAACATGTAATTGACGGTATTGTTGTTTTGATACAGTATGTTGCTGACTTTATTGTACCGTAGTTGTCAGAGTATGTACCGGTACTCGGTAGTAAATTATCTTTCACCTTAAAGATCCTTTGTGACCAATACACTTTCACGATATAGCATTGCTATAGTGTTCTCAATAAGAATAAAATGAAGAGCTCATATTAATACTAAACCAGTAACATTCAGGAAATTAGTTAAATATAGTTTAACAAAATTAAATTATTTTTGTAATTTGGTTATACTTGGGAAAAATGGAAGGTCGCATTTCAAAATGACAAACGAAAAAGTTAATTGACTTGTTTGCTCGGGTGACCTAACTTACAGACTGAAGCTTGTTTGTCATATTTTTGTACAAAATCATGTAGTACACTTAAAGTCACATTTCAAGCCTTTTTCTTAGATGATATGTAGCACATTTAATTTCTCCACAGGTCAATAGTCAATGATGTCCAGCAAAAAACTGGTGCAATTCACTTGAATCAAGGCCAGGGTGGCCGAGCAGGAGATGGACTAGATTTTAAATTATTAGTAAATGAACTACAAGATAATTTAAAATTAGTGAAAAAAGATATATCATATTTAACAAGTAAACCAGAAGTAAGGAAAATATCTATTGTGTATATATAGCATTAACAGGCTGATCTATGAACTTGTTACATGCTTGCTGCTCAAGTACTTAGATGTCTGGTAAAAGTTCAAAATTTCCATTCACACATTACTTGACTACTTTGCATGCTAATTAAATAGTCTCATTTTGTTATTTGTGAGTCCTAACATTTTTCATTGGCATTTTGGGCTGTTTTGTCTCAAGCAATTCTATCAACTGTCACCAAATTATGTACAAATTATGTATGTTATTTTGACATATTGTTAATTTGTCTTGCTTTTTCTCAGAAATAACCTTTTTTTTTCTACAGCCTAGACTACCAACCTGTCCAGATCTGCCAGAATTACCTAACTGCTTGAGTGCTGGTCATTTCTATTTTTTTATGATATTACAAATCGTAGTTATTCTAGGATATATTTCATATAAGTGAGTACCAACTTTGATATCTGATCATATTTGTTGTCCTGTGACGCCATATTTTATTCCGAATCCACTGTACATACTTGTACAAATCAATCTAATGATATTTACTCTGCTACCACATCTAACTGCATACTCATTATTGGAATATTAGGTCAAGAAAAGTTTTTGCTCAATTTGTTTTCCAATATTGATGTGTGCATATGCATGTTTTTTTATTTATTTATTTTTTTAATGTAAAAATTGATCTTTTATTTGATTATTCATGAAAATTTAATTTTTTTTAAATTTCTGACCACAAACTTACAAAAAATGACCAGAAGCATAGTTACATTTTATGACCTTTCCAATAAAATCAATATCAAATATGTTACTAAAATTTGTTTCTTTGTTTCTCTTTCAGACATAAACAAGAAGTCAATGCAAAGAAGTTTTTTTAACATATATTTAAAACAAAAACAAAAAACGACAAAAAAACTTTCCAAGTGCATATTTTCTATAAAAAAAACTTTTATTTAGGGGAAATATATTATGTAACCGTATTAACCCTCAAAGTTGCAGAAAGACTGAACAATCTCTATAGAATCCACCCCCCCCCCAAAAAAAGTAGGTACATATTTAACTGTCTTGGGCAAGTCCATATACTGGTCTCCAGGAACACACTTTATTGTGTTTGGCGCCCTCAACGTCCATATGAATAAATTCTTTACATTACATAAAATTTTTTTATACATGGTCTCTACCCCCAGACCTGTATTTTTACCCTCAGTGAATTGAAAGCCTTGAACTTCAGTATTACTGCAATGCATTAGTCAAGTTTGTTATAAAACAGCAGTAATGTGTGCAGATTTGTGCATATCGTAATGCTTGCAGGCGGTGATGTTTAAGAATCCTGCGATGTGAAAGAAAAAGACAAGCGGGGTTCACATCATGATGTACATGTATTTGTTGCAGTGTGACCTTACCATACAGACATAAACAAAAAACAAACATTCCAAAATTTTGATTAATTGTAAAATGTTTTTGCAATGTATAATGGAAGGGTCGCTTAGGATACTGTGTATGAACTTGACTAAATTTTAAATTTTTAGGTGTTGTCTTATTTCGTCTGTGATCGAGGTGTACAGTTATTAATTCTGTCAAAATGTGTTTTATTTTATTCAATATGAAAAAAAAATAATATTTTATTCTATTTATTCAAAGAAGGGAAATTTGAATATCCTGTAATCTGGTACCTTGGTATCCAGTTGTTACAAGGATTAGGCTAATCTTAATCTTATCTCATGAATTCTCATTATCTTGAATAAACTATCTATTCAATTCAGCAATAATCACATAACTTTCAGGGTTAACAACCCTGGTGTACGATACTTGTGTTGTTGCTGAAAAAGGCTTGTGAAACTTAAGGGAATAACAAATTATCGGTCATAAATACAAGTGTAGTTAAGTTTTAAATATACAAATTTCATTTACAAAGTTGATTTGCCAATTCTTGTTTCAAGATGATGTATTTCCCCATGATGCAATGCACAAAATGGGAACCTATTGAAGTTTCACACTTTCCTATTTGAGATACTGACAATTCACAGAAATATCCACCAAAGAGTGATGTAACATTCTTTAAAATTAATTTTACTCATTCACTATTATTACCTTATAACTTCTGATCTTTCTAATGCTGGCTTGAAATTGGTAATTTTTGGCCACCCAGTAATTTTAAGCCATGCATGCATGTTTTTAAGGACTACAAAATATCACTTTTGCATATGTTAAATAGTTTTATTTTTACATAGTTTATTGCACTAAGTGGCTAAAATACATTACCAGTACTCACAATACAAAAATACAGTTTTCAGTGCAAATGAATTGAACCTGAAATAAAGCTTAATTAAACTCATCAGGGGAGAACAAATATTGGTGAAAATATTTCCCTGTTTGTTGAAAATGTTTCCCTGTAGCTATTCTTCAAAATCAGTAAACTGTCCAAAACACAAATGATATTATGTTCAAACAAGTGCTTCCTAAAACTTGCACTTATCAAATTGAAAAATAAATAAATAATTGAATTCTTACCAAAATATAATAAAACAATGGATGAATTTTTAGCTTCCCTGTTGACTTTGCTATTTTCGACTTGTTGAAAACAGTTACCCTAATTACTTTGATATTCTATATGTAGTCTTTCTTGTTCAGATTTCTTACCAAGATGTAAAAAAAAAAAATAATAAATTTATCAAATGTTCAGTGTTTAAGAAGCACTTGTTACTATAGTAGGGATCAATGCAGAAGAGCAGATTGTACATATTTGGCATTCAATCATTCAGATAATGAAATCTTCTGTACTACTGGAAAGTGTGTTTACATGGCCACTAGTGTATGTTGAGTTTAATACCAGTGGGACATGAAAGGACCATCATCTGTTACCGGAGAGGAATGTTAAGGTGTACTTAACCCAGATGTCTGGAAACTGCTAATAAGACATTGCAACTACTTTCCTTGTTCATGAGTGTTACTGCCGTGAAGTATGGTTTCTTGTGGAGACTTCAATGAAACTTTTGATCAACAGCACTTTATACAAATTGAGTATGTCTAGACTGAGTCATGTTGATTGACGAGAGAAACTTCAATCGCTTTTGTGAGTCATTTTAGCTATTGGAATATTCTTTGAGGCATTCTAAAAACTATTATTGAAAATTATTGAGATAACAAAACTGGCTGAAGACTGTTGTTTTTTATGTCATTTGTTATTGATATAATGAATCAAACAGCTTAAAGAGATGTATGATACCACCTTCTGGGCAGGATCAGTAATCTTATTACTTAACATGTGGGTGCTTATAAATTTATGATTTTCCCACTGCTCTGAATATCAAAGTGGGGGTTCCTATTGATCAAACTGATGGTTCTCCTATGGTTCTTGAACAAGAACAAATTTGAATATTGACACTGATCCAAATAAATATTGGCAAAGTGGGAATATACCTTTATCCGTGTAGTAGGGAAGTGATTCTCGTATAATCTATTGTAGTAAAATCCATCATGTGTATGGTCTTGCAACAAGTTTCTAGTCACAATACATTCTCTTCATTAGTAATGTAACTGCCAAAGATCTCAAAATTCAACAGCATTATAGTGTTTGTATGCATATGTAAACCTGGGAATAGTGTCAAATTTTAATCTTGCTTTATGTAAAACAAAATAAAAAATTTAATTGTGAAATAAATATAGTAATCATAAATAACACTTGGTATATGGTTTTTGTACTTGGATTAATTTTTCAAAAAATGTGGATGAAATTTTCTCATTTTTTTTAAATACTGTTGTAGATTTGTACTACTTTGTCACATGCATTGTGAGCGGGTGTGAAGATTCTTTGTTCAACTGAAATGCTATTCACTCAGTGGAGTAACTCTGATGTATATCAGTGTACATTTTTTGTGCATTTCAGAGTATTAAAAGTACTACCCCTTATTAAATACTGTGGAATACTTTATTTTTGCTGGAATTAATTTTCACTGAAAAGGCTTTTTGGGCATTTTGTATGGAATTTATTTTCACTGATTTTTGATGAGTTTAATGTGAAATATAAGAAAAAAAGTATATTCGCTGGATTTTATTTTCAAGGAATCATCCCTTCAGCGAAAATAGCGAAAATAAATTCCAAGCAAAAATAAAGTATTCTACAGTAACTGGGAATGGACAGGGATGTTTGCTTTAATAATAGACTTGATTGCGTTTTCCTATTTGTGCACAACTCAAACAAGAATGAATCACTCCACAGAGCCATATTGAATGAGAAGGGTCTATGGCAAAATGTTGTGTGAAGCAAAGCCAAACATGTAATTTTGTCTCTACCCTTCTTTAAGGCTATTACCAGGGAGGGGGGGGGGCATTATTGTTATTTGTAAATAACCATCAGCAGAATAAAACAAATTTGGGGCTTTTTGTTGAAATAAATTTACTGGTGATGACAAATTTACATTATTGTGTTGTAAAAATCTCTAATTCTGATACTGGTGATTTATAACGCACTATAAAGGACAGTATGCCATCCTATATTCCCTAAATAAATGAATAATCTTGAAACTTAAAATATAATCTACCCCACAGAAACAGCGCCCTCAATGGTGCAGAGGGTAGAAACTAAATTCTGGGTGAATTGTTTGTGGATTCATGTTCTTTTAAACTGGACCCAAAAAATTGACATTGAGGGTGCTTTTTGGCTCATTAATGTTTTTTTGTCAAAAAACTAAGTTTTTCTAAAATGGTTTAAAAATTTATAGAATTAGAAAGATTGGCTCAACCATGAAAATGGGGACCAGTTTTTCTAGCTGCCATATTTGGAGTATACGGATATGTAGCGCACAAATATGTATAATCCAAATATGGCAGCTAGAAAAACTGCTGAATGTATTGCTGGAAATGTCATATGTTGTAGGGTTGCTGGTTATGATTTGTTTAATGTTGATGCTCCTGTCTGTAACAATTGGTAGAAAAGTTAGATTGGTTGGGACTTTCAGCTGAAATGTTGTAAAGTGGAAGGTGAAAAAAGTTAAATGAAAAGTCCTAAAACTTTGGTACTCTAAAAAAGAAATGTAAAAGTTGATTAGAATGTAGATAATACATGATGGAAGAGTCATAAAATATTGATGGAATATCGTAAATTGTGATATGAATGCTGTAAAGTTTTCCGAGAAAGTTATAAAAGTTGGGTTGGAAAGTTATGAAAGGTGGCTAAGAAATTTGATCAAAAGTTTGTGAAAGTGAAAAATTAATATTAGTATAAAAAGTTAAGATAGAAAAAGTGATAAAAAGTAGCTCAAAAGTATTATTGTAATATTGAAAGTAAAAATATAATTAGATATATTATAAGATGATTGTCTATTGAGTTTATTTTTATTTCATTCAATAGAAATGCTAAATGCTAACAAATTTGATGTAGTGAGTGACGTATATTCTCAACTAGCACAACCCAGCATGTTAAGGTACCGGTAACTTAACATTTAACAAGTTATTTAATAAAAGCTAAGCAAAAAGGAAAAGAAAACTACAGCCCTCATTCAGGCATGTCCAGTGAGTTGAAAGGCATGAACTGAAAATGCACATTTGATACATTTGAGTACATTTGATTAAAAAAAAAAAATTGAATTCGATTCTTGCCTAGAAACTAATGTTTTTAACAGTCTTAGGGAGTCTACTTCATACTCTCCACACTTTACATGTTTTAGAAATTCCTCAATACAGTAAACAAACATTTGCATAACAACACACAACACAATTTCTTACAAAGAATGACAAAGATAATAAATATACATTGCGCAGAATTCAGTCTTTAATTCATGTTAAGATTACATTAATTACGCTTCATTTTATTTTATTAACATGACTGAAACATTTTGTAATGTGACATTAGCTTTTGTAATGTACTTTACATAACTTAAACTTACTCACGTAAGTGTACAAAATCATATTAAAAAGATAAAAAACTGAATTTACGAATGTGCATTTGTCCATTAGGATTGTAGTATTAAAGAACATTTATTTTTTCTCAATGGCAAAAAAAATAACAAAATATAACAATGAAAACATATAAATGTATACAAAAGACAAAATATACTGTAAATGCAATATTAATTTGCTGATATTTAATTTCGCTATTTTCCCTAGTAAGTAAAACTTAATAAATTAAATTCACATGAACAATTTAACTCTTTGTTTTGCTGTCAAATTTGTGAACTTAAAACCTATTGAATATAGAGAAATTAAACACCAGTTGTAATGATTTGTTTTATAGTAAACAATTGTACAAACTTAGTCATTGCTTGTTAAAACATGTGACCATGGACCATGATCTTATGCTATGGAGTAAAAGTACACAAAGTTTAAATCAACATAATCAGCTGAGACAAAGGCATTTTGCACTGCACATTTTAAACATTCTCTTTTTCTAGCATCATGTCTTAAAAATTCTCAAAGCATTTTACATAATTTTACTTTATTTAATTTCAAAACAGTATACATATGATCAAACTATTGTATCAACATATATATAATTAAAAACAAATAATTTACATAATATCAATTCATTTGCACATGTCAACTATTTTGACCTGTTACTGTACCAACTTTGAAACAAAACGATCAAAACATGTTTGGGAAATGACTCCAAAGGTGTAAAAACAAAATGGCCATCAGTCGGCCATTTTTAATTTAAACCTAAAAGAAACAGAATGTACATCAGTAACTCAGCATGTTTAACCAGCATACCAAATTTGAAAAAAAAAGGAAAATGCATATCATAAAATTTTATGAAAGCAATGGCCATCTTCGACCAAATCTTGAAACCATAGTACATTGACTAGGTGTTGAGGATGTGCAAGCTTTAAAAGAAATCAGCCAAGCCATTCTGAGATACAGCTCTGGATGCAAAAAAACACAGACTAACCCATAAGTCTCCAATTTCAATTTTCCCTGCGAGCACGAACTACTAATAATTTTAAAAAGAGAAAAAAATCAATCTAAGTGGACAAAGATATGAATAACCTCATAGAAGATCTTGCTCAACTCTTGAAAACTTCAATGATTACACTTAGACACTTGTGCACAATGGACACAATTCAAATATATACAAGACCTTCTCTGATTAGTTGAGTAATCTAGTTATTTGAAATCTCATGAGTGGAGTTTTCTATGGAGGTGGCTCTAACCTATGAGCTTCCACAATTATAAAAAATTAGAAAATAAGTTTAAAAAAAATATGACTGTCATAAAAAAAATAAATAAAAAATGAGTCAAAAAGAAAGAAGAAAAGCCTAATAAAAAATTCAGCAATCACATGACGGTCTTGGCATAAATAAGAGCTGAAACGAAAAAGTCAACATTCTAACTTGCATAAAAACTGCAGCCATATTAAGATGTAAATCTATATACACAAAACTAAGTTTTACCATGCAACATTGCAAAAAGAACAGAGGGACCAGTTATGTAGGGAGATGTTATGAATCATTTTTAACTTTTGGTGATTGTATCACATGTCTTTCTAAAACAGTACATGTGCTATAAGTATCACGAAATATTAACATGTGGACGTAAATGAAAAAAAAGTCAATTCTCACTTGGAATAGTTTCACTTTCTTGCCCAAACAAATAACGAAGGATTATTATAAATCCTTGTCTCAGAACCATCATGTGAAATAATTCTGTCAAACTCGTGTAGCCAGTCTTGAAGGAAATCTTCGTGTTGATTTGATGGGATAACATTAAGCTGACCAAGAATGGGTTTAATGTAATCTATAATTAAAGAACAATAGAGTAAAAATATCAAGATTGAAAATCTACTATGAAAGGATTCAATACAATAGAGGAATTGCAAAAATATTGTTTCCATGAAAACTAGTTAATTTATTTGTCATTTATATGGAACATTTTCCTCAACATAGTATCAACTATTTGTTGAGTTTTTAAGTTTTCCACATTTTTGTTGTTCCACGTCCATTGTTAATGTACTGTAAATGTATTAATTAATTGCTGGTTTTTTATTTTTCTATTTTCATTTATAGGTAAAACTCACTAAATTAAGTCTACAGAATGCATTGTTTTCCGGCCGAGCTTGTGAACTTAAAACCCAGTGAAATTGCTCAAAACAACAAAATAGTGAAATTAAATACTAATGAAAATAAATGGTTTTACAGTACTCATATATTTTTTTTTTGAGAAACTTGATTGTAAATCACTTAACAATATTGGTTTACTATATACAGTTGTTAAGCTACTGTTTAATGGTATTATGGAACACCATTCTGGTTTGTGGTACAGTGAATCATATTATGAAAAAAATATTCTAATATATTCAGATATTCTTTGTTTTTATAGAAGTTCCACATAGCACAAGGTTAAAGCAAAACATTTTGTTTTATCACTTTTTAAAACTCAGATTTTTGAAATAATGTATATTTTGTTGTTCTTTACCAGCCAACAATTTGAGATGACACGACTCCACCATAATAATCATGGTAAAATGTTATAATTACTGACAAAATGGCCGCCATTCACCAGCATGTGCGTCCCATTATCTAATTAATAAATACTACTAAGCCATGTTAGAAATATTTCAAAAAATTATTGTCGTTACCTTTCATTTCTGCTGTCGAATTAATTGTATTAAATACGTCATCAGAATAACACTTGATGTCAGTAAAACCACACGTCTTCACAATTTCAGCAAATTCTGCAGGGTTTCCT